TTTTTCAAGACCCCTATAGAATGCATTTGAAACAAATTTAAGAAACTCTGCTGTTGAAATTTCGCGTTCTAACAACTTACCGTTCTAATGTAATACCTACGTTGGTTATTTTCATTTTAATTTTTTTGGTTTATGCTATGCAAGTTCAAAATAAATATAAATTTTAAATATAATTCAGTTTCCTATCACTTCTACCCTTCACCGCACAAAGTTTCATAAAAATATATTTATAGAAATACTTTTCAATATTTATTTTTCATTTCAAAATCAGATTTAATTATTAATCTGATCAATTAAATCGTAACGATTCATGTTGTTCTAACAAAAGTGGCTATAAACTAACCTTGTCGAGAGAAATGGAGCTATTAATCACCTCGATAGGCGCCAAAATTTTCCCAAAATGCGTTTTAATTGCTTCAATTTGCCAACAAAAACAATTTTTTGAGAACACCCTTAGAATGTTCAGGGATGATTGGATATTGTAATTAGTTGAATATTTGTACTGTGACAGAAAAACTCATGTGAGGGAGTGTCAGATCAGGTTTTCAACAATTTCAATCATTTTCAACAATTGTTCCATTATTTTTGATGACATTTTGTTGGTGAATAGTCTGAAGCACGTTTGAGATAATGGTGGAGGTCTCATATAGGTTGAAAACACTGATTTTTCGAAAATTGAAAAAAATCAAAACCTTTCTGCGTGTTTTTACAACTACAATTATGAAGATAATTTTTTCTTAATAAAATGTGTTCATCAAAAAGACATGTTGAATTTCACAAAAATATGATGTTTTTTCAGTAATTTGGCGTTAACAAGTACACGCCTGCTCCTTATTTTCTGCGATTCGTGAACGTAATTTTTCAGGTATTTTGAAGCAATTAGATGCTACCAAAGGTAGAATTTGTATATTATTACATATTTCTTTGTTCGTTTATTCTTCGAGATTTTGTTATAAGTTTTAAAATTAACTTTTTAGAAATTAATTTATAATATTTTAATTTGCGGTCTTTAATTGAGTTAAATGTGAAACGAATAGATGATTTCGCTCTGCTTAGTAAGATGTGGAAATGAAAAGTAATTAATGTAAAAACGGAGTAATTTTGATAAATATAAAAATATATTTGATTATTCTAATTTTTAACTGTTTTAATTTTCTTGCTAGCAGTATCAACAATACTAATTGGCAAAATATGTATCCCATACGAATTAGCTGACATTGCTGGTTGTTACCCATTGTTGTATCGCTGCTCTGATAACAGAAGACAATGACTGCCTTTTTATTCACGTTAATGTAAACTAATAATTTTATTTCCGCCTTATTTTTATTGTTTTAAGGAGCGTCAACGATTATTGTCATTAGTCCCATAAGTGTAGTCTATGTTATATTCGAGGAGAGCGGAGTTCTCTTGCAAGAACGTACATTCCGGCGCCAACCTACACATCGGTTTCTGCGATTGCTTATTCCAGATATCTCCGCCAGTGGAGTACCGTCCGAGTTGGGACAAGCTGACTCGCCTTCCTCGCCTCCGGTACAAATAGTAGTGCCTCTAAGAGAGCGAGAGAGAGACCGAGGAGAGCATTGGACAAGGATGAGGAAGGAAAGATTGTGCGCTGTCCGTGGTCCGTTTGTTAAGGCACTGATCCAGCATTCAGCAGGTATTGATCGGACAAAAAACTGAAAACCTTTGTATTGCCCTGAACCATCTCAACGGATCACAGAGATCCTAGTTTCGTAAGAAGGAGCCTTCATTATTCATTGCTATACCAATCGGTACCGGATTAAGAGGCTCAGCGCAGCAGCTGTCATTGAATCCTCTAACCGGGAGGTCCTAGGTTCGAATGCCGACGGTGGCAGAATTTCCGACACTAGCTACATGGCTAAATCAAATTCAGACGCTGTTTGGAGAAGATTTCTAGGGACCGCCTACTCTGATCGGTAGTTTCTCATGGTTTCTCCGATAAACCAGGCGAATGACGGGGCTAACAAATGGACCACAGACTTCGTGCAGCCTTTCCGTCCCTTTCCTTGTTCAATCCTTACCCTTTTCTTTCGCTTGAACTACATTAACATACATGCCGCGAGGCCGGTCGAGAGTTAAGAGCTTGTCCCGGTTGAGGCGGCGTTCCGTTGTTGGGAGGTGCCTGGATGGAGATGGGTGGGTCAGCGTCGGATATCGTCATCCACTGGGGAAAAATCACCACCACCTCCCGCGATAAATAAACGCCTCAAATGTACGGATTAATGACCGTAGTAGTTGACGCGCCCGAAATCAAAAATCGAGATCAATCAAACATCAACTTTCGTGACTGTCGTGAAAAAAAAAACGCACACGAGTCGGAGAGTCACCTCATTCGAGCTGCGTCCACGAAAGAGGCGTGACCCGCATGTGTTACAGCGAACGCCAGCGCCGCCGCCGCCGCCGCCGCCGCCACCGAGGCGCCCACGCCGACGCCTGTCGTCTCCAGCACAGCGACGCCCGCCACCTGTCACGTCATGGGTACGTACTTTACGAACCCAGCCAAGGGTGCTGGTACAATACATTAGTTACTTGTATTTCAGCAATACAAACTACCTTTTCGTTACGAGAAATCGTTCAGGAAACGGCATCATACGGTGCAGATAAGGACGTATTTGCCGTCTGTGGGAAGAATTATCGTGTCATCACACATTCAGTTAATTGCAGTGAGAGAATCGTTGGCTGAACAGTCGACAACCGTATTTTCGTAGAGACGTCAAATACTAGAAACGTCACAATAATGTTGTTTCCCAAGATTAAATTCATAATGCTGTTATACAAAAATAGCATATGCAACTTGTTTATAATGTTACTTTATTGCTTCGGTACACATTATTAATTAATTAAGTTTTGTGCCTACACATAGAGGACTACGATTCTCCAAATTCTTTAAATTCTTTTTTTGGTTCTAATTAAATCAATTGGTGTTTGGACTCTTTAGCATATTGGTTTGTTACATTTGAATACCTTAATTAAAATATGTTTTTTGTTCTTTTTACAATCTATCATGCCCACTCCATCTCTTGTTCAATAAACATCGGGCGTTTTCGGACGATCCATATGATGCTTCTAGAACGCCCGATGGAAATAATGTTCGCAACACCACTTCCCCCGGAAGTGACATCAATTATTCATATGTAAATCACGTTGGTTAAGAAAAACGTAATATGCTTGTGCAACGTTTAAAGGATTTATTATATATGATACTGAAATAACATAATTGGGTGTCCGTGAAGTTCATTAGCATGACTTTATATCAAGCGCAGAGTAAATATCATTTCCACCCACTATACACAATCCTTACATTCATTAAAACACTCCTGTCATATTTACGTATTACTAAACCTCATGTGAAAATTAAGTGAAGTGTTGTGGCAAGGACGCAATTCTTCCGACATCCTACGAGGTCTTGACTTGGGACAGTAATGTTGAATTGAGTTAAAATATTTACTTGACAAGCTCCGGAAATTCACTATGGGGGCTTTCGGAGTCTTGTTGACTCACTGCACCTCTCTGAGGCTCAGAGGCTCTCGCGTGCTCTTCCCCTTGTTCGCTTACCTGCTCTTCATCTCTTTTATTTAAGAGCTTCGAACCTTGATTGCCAGAGCGTGCTCGCGTTCATTCAACATTCAGAGGCCCGTGAATGCTAACTTCTCGTTATACCGGAACAATCACTTCTTCGATGTATGAATCTTTGATGTTGCTTGGAGGATGGGAGGGACGTGATCATAGTCACCAATAAAAAATTATTATTATTATAGATTATTCATAATATATTAAAAGATTATTCATTATAGTAATGACTGCAAGAGTATTGAATAATTCAAAAGGTTTCTTTAATTATTGAAACACTAATTTGAATATTTAGTTCTAAGGAATAATTTATAAATATTGATAATAAAGAGATCAAGAATATTCGGTGTTGCTTAACAAGTAACTCATATAATTATTTTAAAATATTTTTTTTATAAAATTCATAAAAGTATCTTCCGTACTAACAAAATATTTATTATATTTATTATGATAAATATACAGAACCAAATATGAAACATTGCTGGGCTTCTTGAAAAAAATACTAACTCGTTTCATTTCGCTTTTGTAAGGTGTATTTAATGTCGGTCCTTTGGTACTATGATTTATACTTCATTGATTGTTAACTTTATTTTATATAATCTATTCTAAAACATACTATATACCCAAGTTTTTCGGGTGTTCATGTCTACCAATTATTCATATGTAAATCACGTTGGTGAAGAAAAACGTATTATGCTTGAGCAACTTTTAAAAGATTTATTACATATGATACTGAAAATAAGATAATTGGGTGTCCGTGAAGTTCATTAGCATGCTTTTATATCAAGCGCAGAGTAAATATTATTTTCACCCACGATACACAATCCTTCCATTGATTAAAACACTCTTGCCATATTTACGTATTACTAAACCTCATGTGAAAATTAAGTTAATTGTGTTTCATGTTACAATAATCACAAACCTCTCTTACCATTTCATATATCAATTTTCTAATAGTTTCTGTAACTATCAATGGTATTATAAGTAATTGGTTGGATTTATTTAATCAAATATATGCACATAAAATAACATTTAAAACTGCTACCATTGTAGAATGAAGTCTCAATTCATCCACAAGAAATGTACGCATTTAAAAATATAATTAAATATTCCTGAATGGCTATTTAGGAACAATAAAAATCACTAAACAAAATTTGTTGATATAATTTTATAATTGTAACTGATTCAGCGTTTAGAACACGCTACGTATACGAAAACGTTTGTACAAGTAAACGTCAAAGAACCTAAAAAAAGGAAACGGAATAGATCTCCGATTCCGACAGACGATAATATCACACTCGCGAACCGGGAATGTTTGTCGAGGCGAAGAACCAGTGGCAAAGCGAACACGAAAGCCGCACGCATCTCATTAGCATGAGGCGTTTAAAAGGGATCGCATCTAAATGGAAATGCGAGGGCCAGGAGCCTCGCCGCAAAGCGGCTCAAAGCGGGTGCCGTTCCGTGAGAAGACTCCCAGAGGCTCCGGATGCAGCGCCTGTCGCTGCGCAGGTCGGCCACCCGCACCGCACGCAGGTCGTGCGTTTTGCCCAGCGCACAGGGGACGTCTCATCTTTCATCCGCGGACGGCGCGCCGAGGCCCAACAGGCGAGCGTTCCGGTCCACTTCCGCTGTTCCGAGCCGAGAACGCGGTCTTTCTTCTGCTCTGCCGCGATTCTTCTCCAAACACGATGGGGGATAAAAATATAAAATTTATACTTGTCACTGTTCTCGGGAAATATATGGGGATCCTCCTAACTCAAGTGTCGGTGTTTGTACTATGTGGGTAAGGCTCGAGTGGAGTGAGCACTGTGAGCATGTTTGTCCAGAAAATATTGTCTTTATGCCAAATCACTCTGGTGTGATGCTATAAATTATTTTTTAAATCCAAGAATACTCTTCGTTTACGAACATAAGTGTTGTTGTTGTCAAACAACCACAGGGACAAACGATGAAAGGGAGTAATGCTAAGTGTTATAACGTAGCGAGTGCTTGTAAATGTTAAGTGCTCAGCTATTGGGGGTGAAGTGTATTGTCTCAAGAAAATAAATTAACAGTCTATAAACATTTCAGAATATAAAATCCGCAAAGGGAATTGAACTACAATATACAATTTACACTTATTCTTGGCTATAACAATTAATTAAACACTGAATGGACTATCATAGACTGTATAGAATGGAAAGCTAAAACACGTGTTAGAATAATGTGTTCTCAAACCAATGTTAAATCACTCTATGAATGCTTAAAAGCTCATTTATTCATTCCCTCTCGCTGGACAGACATAATGCCCTTTCGCATTTTATCTGCAATGGTTTTGACCTAAGTAAAAGTGCAAAAAACTGTTTTTAGTAATGACTAAAGATACAATACCGATGTAACCCTTCCACTAAACAAACGAAAATTGTAACCAGACTCCTCATTTTTAAGGCAGGTCCGTGCACTTACAGAAAAACCAAAACAAACAAATAATTAAACTGCGATCAGGTCATACATTTTACTTTATAAATTTCATGTAAGTAAATTGTTGCATTTAACGCATTACTCGTTTCCCACTAAAATGGTGCGCAAAAGGTAGTATGTGTTGATTACAGCTTCACCAAAGCCTTTTACTAATTATTCAATTCATTAAGGTCCAAGATGAGAAAGGCGAGGGTGCGGATGAAGACGTCTTGCATATTTTACCCTCATTACATCTACAGGTCGTCTGTAATTCAAAGAGCCTCTTTGCGAAACAGTTTTAAAAGGAAAGCCCTTTTATAAAATATAAAATTCATAGAAACCGCTAAACGACACTGAAGCTCTTTGATGTATTATATATGTGTGTAGATGTGAATGTGTGCTGGGGGTGGGAGAGCAAATGCCTGAAGCAAAGGAGGATAAAAGTGTGCCTGTGTGAGGGAAAAATAAAACGTATTGAAATGAAAAATCATCGGTTTGAAATTTTGGAATGAAAGGAACGACACTTTCTTTATATATACACGCATTGGTTTAAATATATTTTAGAGAACCGAATATCGCAAATAAAAATATGTTGAAGTTTACATTTTAAAAATATATTGTAACTTAATGAACAAGCATTTTGCAGGGGAAATTAACGATCGGATGAATACCAAATTGTGTAATAAATATCGGAAGTAAAATAATAGAATATGTGTGTGTTTTGAGCAGATAATAGACCAGATAACAAACTATTAAGTTGATTTTATCATTGTACATGGTTCAAATGACTATGTATCATTGAGAGAAAGCAGTAACCTTTCTATGAAAACGTTACTTCCGACACAAATGTAACTTTCAATGCAAATGACAAATGTTACTTTTGAGAGAAACATCACTGACAGTAATAAATGTTTTGAAAGTGCCGGTAACTTTTTGGCTTGGACGGCAAGTGAATAGTAGTGTGACGCACATCAATCACTGCAAGGCACAAAAACTAGCGAGATCAAACTTCGCATTGGAATACACGGGAGCTACAAAGGACAGTCCGAAGAGAATCTCCCTCATTGAGGAACGCAATGCGTTCTTTTTGGTTGGTGGTGCTAATTAGGTAAAGGGTTGAAATTCGATTGTTTTCATCATCTGTTGTAAACAATGTGATCAAATTAAATGCAAGTTAGGAGACTAGAGTCAATGCTGCTAATTAGTTAATGTGGATGTTCGCAAAGTCAGACGATACTGTGTTATTGCGTTTCTGCATTTGTAGTTGTAATAGAAACTTTTGAAATATTTTGTTGATGTGGAAGATGAAAAAGTTACAATTGTTGTTTAGCGAGTAACAGAAACCGATTTATAATATTTGATTCCTTCTCGAAAACTGATTATTGGGTTTTATATCACATTAATATTATTAAATGCAATTTGTGAATTAGTAGTATATAATTGCAAAGGTAAGTGACGTGAAAAAAAATTCATGAATTTATTACCGCTCTCATTACATAAATCCTGACGAATTTTTGTAAATACAAATAAAACTATCTATCTTCAGTGTTGGAGAGAAGAAAATTATCTAAAATCAATATATTTATTTACATTTTGCATTATACAATGTTCAAAACAACAGTCACAAGAACAAATAATCACTAATATATCATAAGGACAAATAGTCATTAATATATCATTAAGGATCGTCATAAAATTAAGGACTGGAAAAAATACAATATATCACACTGAAAAAGTGACGTTCCAGGACACGACAGGACACCCACACTCGGCCTTCTCCGAGAACTCTCCCGTCGAGTTATGGGAACAATCAATGCCTTTTTGTTTGTTCGCTAATAGGCGAACTTGGACCACGCGTGCATGCACCTTGCATTTACCGGAGCTCGAAGACCCCAGGGTTCGGAACCGCTACGACACTACTGTCTAAACGATACCGGTCATCTGATCGGCCACTGTCTTTTAATATAAACTAGCGCAAGCCGGCGAACGTTGTTCGGCCCTCTCTTTCTCTCTCACTATCCCTGTCTCCCTCTGTCTCCGTCTCTCTCCCCGTCTGCCTCTCCGACTCTCTCTCTCTCTCTCTCTCTCTCTCTGTTTGTTCCTCTCTCTGCGTCTGTCTGGCTCCCTGTCTATCTTTCTATACCTGTCTTTCCCGGGCGTTATTTCACAATCGCAGGGGCAGATACTCATAATACATCAGAGTACCGCGGGTTGCGTAGAGTGGCATTGCATAGAGAGCCTGAACAGGGGCGCGTCAGTCAACATGAAATCATCATCAACGAGCGTTTTCGTGCTCAGTTATACTCACATTTCCATCGTAATACGCCTATATTCTTCCCACAAGTGCAAGCAATTGGTTGACAAATTTTTATTGCAATCGGATGAACGGTACGGCAGCGCATTAAGTACGAACGAACGAACAAACCAACCAACCAACCAACCAACCAACCAACCATTGTATTTTATATATAAGTTTACTCTTCTCCTATTTTGTGAAGGGCGGAGTTGCAGAGTGACGCGCGCGGTCTGTGCGCAGGGACGGAGTACCGCGCCGGGGAGGTGCTTCCGCGCGACACGGGCACCTGCCTGGAGTGCGTGTGTGGCGCGGCGGGCCGCGTGACGTGCTCGCCCCGCGACTGCGCCTCCGAGGACGCGCACCCGCCGGCCGCCTCACTCGACATGTTCGACGTGGACACCTTCTGACCCTCTCGGCCGTCCTCGGCCCCCTTCGACCGCCATCGGCCGTCCCCGGCCTCCTTCGACCATCCCCGGCCTCCTTCGGATCATCCCCGGCCTCCTTCGGTCGCTCCCGGCCGCTCTCGGCCCCCTTCGTCTCGTCACGGCCCCGCCTCCCCTCCGTCCCGCGCCCTGCCCTCCGCCGCACTCAGCGATTGAGCGCAGCAGACAATAATAAAGATGAGCACCGCACGGGTTGACGACTTTTGTACGCGCACTGGAAACCACGTTCACCCCCCCCCCATGCACTCTCACAGCGTGTGCTCCCGTTTCCTACAGAGTAGGCCCATATCAGTATGTCTTCCACCCCACCCTGTGTGTGTGTGTTTTCTGTACCGACTGGCGAATATACTATACTATATACTCGAAATAAAGTTACAAAACGCCTCGATGTATACATATCCTTTCTTTCACAATCCTCACTCCCAGTTTCCTCTTATATACATGTAATGTCTTAGTCGATCGATATGTTTGTATCGGACTGTGAAGAGTCACAAAGGAATCCATCTCAGTCAAATGCGAAATTACGTTTGAAAGAGAAAACCTTTTGATATGAGGAAGAAAGCATGAAAGAGCAATGTACAATATGCTCATCACAATGCGCGTGGTTGATTTGGAATTTTATTGAAATCACTATCGGCTTTCTCAGACTAACTGGATTTTCTCTTTCATGTTTCACGGAGAAGTATTTTCTTGCAACATGGTTTTTATAGAAGTGTAGAACTGTAGTAGTCGCGAACTACGCATAAAGTTGATTTTTTCGTGAAACGGAAAAGTGATTTTCAATAATATTAGAAACGTGTTCTGCTATATATCGAAAACTACAAAACATATATTTTTCAGTAAAATTAGCCAGAAAATTCACTTCATCCTCATTTCTGGAGGACTAATTCTGACAGAGATGGATACTTTTTATACCATTCCATGTTTCAAAGACCATCATAAACACATTTTAATGTTTACTTGGAGTGTTGTTCATAATGCAGTACTGTAATTATTGATTAAAATTATATGTGAGCCTACTGAGAGTGATAATAAAACGCACACAATAATTAACAAATGCCTCCGAAATACTGTTGCCTGTTCAAAGGTAATATTGATTCACATGCTCTCGTACGTATTTTGTTTCTTACTTTTCTGATCGTGTCAGGTCATCCTCTGCTCTTTGTCAATATCCTTATAGCACCAGTCTTCTGATGGAGAATGTACTATACTACATACTCCTTGGAAGTGTGAGAACTTAAGAGAAAATGTTCGAGATGTCGAACATTATTCAGACCAGATACTGAGTACTATGAATAATAATAAAATTCCTAATACAGAAGGATACAATAGTGTATTGGTAACCGATTGCATATTTAAACAACTCGATTTCGGCCGAAAGGGACCAATGTAGTTCGCCGAAATCCTTTTCTCCGATGCAGTGGTTTTGGCGCTCAGCTTCTTCCCCCAGATTGAGGACGACGCGAAAGGCGATGCCGCGAAAGTCGATTTAAGATAGAAGGCGCCGGAGGCCAGACAATCGACGTAAAGGAATCGCAGCTCTGACGGCTGCGGTGGCCGCCAGGGGGAGCGAGAGCGAGGGCGGGCGGTTGCGTCGGGCGCGGGTGGGGGGTGGGGGAAGGAGAATGCGCTGCCCCTTTGAAGGGCCCGCGCCGAGCATGTTGTTAGCATCCCCCGCCCTCGCTTTCACCCCGTCCTCCCCCCCCCCCTGCCCCCCGCCCCACCAACGCCCATTCCTGCTGCATGCTCACAGAATGGACGCGTGCTGCAAGGATAATCAGATATCCAATAAACCCTTTGAAGCAAATGAAGACGTATAGGTTGAAGAGAAATTTAAAATTTGTCTGGGACGTTATTCGATTCGACATACGTAAAAAATAGTATTATTAATAGAATAATTCCAGAATGCCCAGACAATCGACATTAGAATTTCATTATATTATTTATATATATTATATATATATATATATATATATATATATATATATATATATATATAATTATATATATATAATATATATTAGAAACCAGTGAAATCAGTTTAAACAGTCCTGAAGATATTTATCTTTAATGGTAATTTCATGTTGCTGTGTACACCACTTAACGAGGGGATATGTTTAGTTTATAATGTTATGAGGTATATCAGAAGGCCTTTAAATATTATTCGTGTATTTGATCGAACGAAACAAAATCTTTTATTTGCATACTGAGTCCTCGTGTGTTAAATCAAAATAATAGCAATATTCAAAATCACTCGGAATATTCACAGCTATCTGTTGATATATTTAACCGTTCCAACTCACTGTAAAACATCTGCCACAGAAGTGAGGCGGGAGCCGACGTAAATACCTCTTTGCCCTCGTCTCGAAAGTGATCACTGTGTTGAGTTCCGACGACAATTGGAAATTATATTTTTTACCCCTTTCCCCCACAATTTGTTTATTATTTCTTGAAGATATTGAATTATGTAAATTGTATTGGAACCTTAGTTGAGTGTGAAGTTAGAAAGTTACGTATTCCTACTGTATCGAAATTCGATACATTTGTAATGTTAATTATACTTCATATTCAAATATCTTGGAATAGTTTTATGATATTCATGTTCTGATGAGTAATCTGTAATAGTATTTTACATTTTAACCTCATATTAATTGGAATAACTTAAGAATTTTAGTATCTCTGAAACATTTCTGTACTGAAGATATGTCGCTAGCTTTAGGCCAGAGGCAAACAAATGCTTTCGGATGGACGAGACAGATCTTTAGCTTTCTCCAGGACTGGAATGCGGCCGATGCCGAAGAAGACCATGATGATGGTCGAAATATCGACATCGCAGCAGTCGCCCGGACGTCACCTTAAGTAGCCTAATGCATTCGTGCTCTGGTCATTAAGTTTGCGGATGCCGTCAGATAACCACTACGACCAGAGCGTAGGCTTTCACGGCCGGTGTCTGCAACTAATTGGTTCAGTTCCAAGAAACCCCGCATCCTAAGCACTATTGCCAAAGTTTTGGCCGCCATGACGACGTTTGCTAGTCGTCCTGACGAAGGTTGTCGCATGGCGGGCGAAACGTTGGTACCGGTGCTTAAGACGCAAAGCCCGCTAACTGACGCGGCGGTATGTCGGCGCCGGATCTCGCCATCCAGCGAGGAAAGACCACCGTCACCTCCAGCAAAAAGATGCAATACACTTACGGGACTATGACCCAAATAATTGACGCGCCAAGAATCTCTAACAATCATTCAAGCGAATCCGCATCTTAATAATGTATAAGATTCAATCTCCCAGCAAATTAGGCTTCGCTTTCCCTGTTCTTAAGATGTTGAGCTATCAGGTCATCCTTTCGCAGCGATACTGCTCAGAGTCAGAACCTATGCCCCACAGCCTCCCATTTATCCTACCTCGCGATACAAATTTCCGAATTGATTTGGCATAGCACGTCTTTTCACTCCAAAACTGAAATTCCACTGAATCTACTAAGCCTTTGTGTAACGTTTTTACTTTTCAAATTAACAGCAAATATTTAAGAAGTCGATGGGTGACGAGATATCAGTCGTAGAAAGGATTGCTCTGGTCACGAAAACAATTATTACACATGAAGACCTGACGAAGTACAATATGTGAATAATAACTATAACCTTATCACGAAAACTCATACTGAAGCGCCCTGCTGTAGGATATAGGTTGACTACAAATTCAGGTTGGTTTAGGGTATGTTATTGCCTACAGTAAAGAATCAGTTAACAATCACAATGCCCTCTTTACGATATTCGGACATTAAGAGTTTGAATTCTTTTGAAACAACATAAATAAATTTGACATTCAAGGTAGTTACTAAAACGAATCCTGAAGAATTGTAAGTATGTCAGCGTCGTCGTCTTTGGTAAGTAAAAATCTCAACGGCAGCTGGTAGAGATGTATCAGGAAAATTAAAGACAAATATGGGAAGATTGAAAATAGAGCTGTACGTGTCAACAGTCAAGTCGTTACACTTGACTTTTAAATGAAACCTAAGTAAGCATGCGAGATCATCATGGAGATGGAACTAGATACGCTCAAAGGAGAACTCATACTATATATAAGATATTTATACCATTTTCTAAAAAATTCAAAGGTTTTTCACACAGAATAGTCATCTATATCTACCTCTAGTAATTGTTGCAGTTTTTATGCATTGAAAACCGTCCTCTTATTATTTTGAAGCATTACACATAACTAAAATTCTTTGCGTCCAGAGTTTGAATTTTGGTATAAGCAAATGGAGAAATCGTATCTCCAGTGTTTTGCTTCGAAAAGTGAATGTCGTAAATAAGCTCATATCTTTTACTGACGGCTGATAAAATAACCATACATGGACTTGACTGCTGACTCCGTAATTAAGAAAACATATTTACTTTCGCATGCGGGAAATACATTCATAACATGGAAATTCTCTTCTATATCTTCTAGAAAAAATTATTTTAATTTTATTGTGAGATAATTGACTGCATTTCTAACGTCGGGGTATTTTGTTTCTGAGATACGGAAGTTCTATGTTTCCCACATTGCGTGTTTTCAGATTGATGGAAAATGGATTGAAAAGGAGGAAGAAATACATTCTTCCGAGCGCAGAGGAGAGGTCTCTAAGGTAAGTAATTGTATTTGGCTGAAAGGTTTGTTGAACTAGAGGCTTATTCAATGGACAACTGCCAAATTATGAATATTGATAACGGATCAAGATAGGAATGCCAAGAAATATTTTTCGCTATCCAGAGCAAAGGTGAGTTAAAGATTTTAGAAGGTTTCGGAAGCATACATTATTAGTGAGTATTATGAAGAAGCAACAGTCTGAAGTGTACTCTGCCTTCGAATTCAGAAAAAAATCAATCACTGGAAAGATTTTCGGGACTGGGATGTTATTCAGTGACTGAGAAAGTCATTTCCATTGGCCCTTGTACATGAAATCGCCCAGCATACTGTAAAAGAGTTGAATATGAGCAAACACTATTTCTGAAGACAGTAGAATCTCGTCTTTTGAAGAAATTTTTAAATTTTTGTAAAGTTGAAAAATGATGTTAAAACGGGGAGCCTCCAACTTGAGACATCTAATTTATTTCTTTCAAGCAATTATTTTCATTACTATTAAACTGTTGAAGCCAAGTCACACCGACTGAGAGTCGAATCTGGGTTACTAGGTAACACGGGTTAGATTCCAGGCCGGGGTAACTATTGATTTGAACAATTTAAATCATTACACTCAGTCGTTACACAGTAACGAGGAACAAATCTGAAGACATTTACTGAGCGAAACAAATTCCCAACGTAATTTCCCACTCACGAAGTTGATAAGTTGGTGACAATCGACATCCTGTGCCTAAATCGCACACGTTGTTTCCATGCTGCCACGTACTGCGGTGCTTCGTCGCAACTAAAGCCGGCGTGCCTCTATGGGGGCTCACTACCAACTCGGGAAGACCCGCAATCTCCTTAGTCCTCTCGCCGCAATTTATACTTAAGTTTTGTGCCCCTCAGGGACCAATTTACCTGGCTCGCTTTCGCGCGCCGGCGTCGCGCCCGGCAGCAACGTCTACGCGCAACCTCCATTCTGTTCCTTCCCGACCGTGCACCTGGTCTATTTCTGTCTCACGCTCGCAACCCGGCCGTTACTCGACCCCTGCCCGTCCCCACGAGCCCCCCGCCCCCGCGGCTTCTGCATCTGCGTCAGCGTCAGCGCATTTACTCGCCCCCGCCCCGGTCTCCGCTCCCTGGTCACGCTGGCCTTCACCTCCTAGTTATTTTCTTGTTGATTTATTTTCTACTCCGTTGGTAATTTTGTATTAAAATGTGTTGTAGATTACACCGATATTGAGCAAAAAATTAACGCGGTAAAAGTTTTGTAAACCGAGAAGATAGGATTTCGTTTCAAAAATCGGCTATCTGTGTTAAATCGACCGTGTGCCGTTGAATACTTTTCGTAAACGTTCGTGTCCACTAGGAAAAAAATAACGTAGAAAATAAGAATGGTTATTTATGCACCAACGGATTTATAATACAACATCCGTGGTACATTTATGATTATATTTTTTACTAATTTATTGGGTTTTAACTTTTAACTTTATAAATTACTATTTTATTAACTCAGATTTACTTTATTTACTAATTACCTAGATGTTAACTTGACTCGGCTTATCTATTAATATTTCTCTCTCATAATTTCCTTTCCTAATTACCTCCGTATGAAGACGTAAAACAACATTCAATTCTTTTCATATTTCCCTCGTAACCACGCTCCTCTCAATCCAGGTAAGTTATGTAATGAATATCAAGCTTCTTATCGAAGGGAATAGAATAACAAGCA